AGAAAACCCATTTTTAGATTGGGTTATTGTCTTTTCATTGTTAAACTGTAAGAGTTCTTTATATAGTCTAGACCCTTATCAGAAATATTATTTGTAGGGGCGCCTGGGTGGCTCAGTTGTTAAGTGTCTGCCTTTGGCTTGGGTCATGATCCCAGAGTCCTGGGATCGAGCCTGGCATCAGGTTCTTTGCTCTGCAGGAAACCTGCTTCTCCCTTTCCTACTCCCCTGCTTGTGTTCCTTCTCTCGCTATCTCTCTGTCAAATAAAAAAAAATATATATATATTATTTGTAAATATTTTCTTCAGTTCTGTGGGTTGTCTTTTTACTTTCTTGATGGTACCATTTTCAGCATAGTTTTAATTTATTTTTTCTTTTTGTCTCTTGCACTTTTGGTGTCATATCTAAGAAACCATTGCTTCCCAAGGTTATAAAGACTTGCTTCTGTGTCATCTAAGAGTCTTCTGACTCTTCTAAGAGTCTTCCACTTCTATGAGTTCTTTCGAGTTAACTTTTATATATGGTGTGAGGTTCCAACTTCAGTCTTCTGTGTGTGGATATCAAGTTGTCCCACACCATTTATTGAGAAGATTCTCTCACTGCGCATATTTTGCTTTTATTTTTACTAGCTTCGTTAGGGTACTCGTTTTTTCGGGGCACTTGGACACCTTAGCTGGCTACAGGTCGTGAAGATTTTTAGACTCCTCCAGTGATGGGCCTTAGACCCAGATGCCCATTAGGTGGAGAACCTTTGTGCCATCTGGTGGACAGTGGATTAAAATACAACATACTCCTTTGGGGTCAGGTTGCCCATCTATTTGTACCTATCATTCTAAGAGAGGTGGTCATCGGTGTGTTGAATTGATATTTTAAAAAGTGTGATTTAAAAATTTTAGCCTCGCTTTCTTATGATCTCACTTTGTGTGCCAGAAAGATTCGGTGTTTTTAGCCAAACTCTTAGATTTCTGGCAGCCACTCTGATCTTGCTGGTTCTACCTTGTGGTCAGCCAGGTCTGTCCCACGAGCGTCAGACTGTCACCTACCCATCGGCTCTAGGGAGTCTTTCTGGAAAATTGAGAAATCAGTGATGTCAGGCTCTCATGAATTTGAGGCTTGCCTGCACTTTATTATTTTATAAAACGAAGCTCTTTGTGGGAGTCCCTGACCACCCCCCATCTACTCTCTTTATTTCCTCACTTATTTTGGAATTAGCATTCAGTATTTTGCTCCCAGGGAATGATAATAGGATTTACCACCACATTCTGGAGAAGATGGATTCTTTGAGTTATTGTTCAGTTTCCAAGGGAATTGGGAAATTTAAAGGCTTATGTGCCACTTAAAAACAGCCCCGAAAGCAACATATTTCGATTGCATTTAGGGCATCAAACAGTCACCTGCGGCTCTCTTCCTGACAGCCCGTCCTTCCTTTAACGTTGTTTATGCAGCCTCGCTGACAGCTTAAAAAAGCTAAAAAAGCTTCCCTAAAAAGGGAAGGTAAAATGTAAATGAAAGCGAATTGACATGTTGCATCTTAGCTCAATTAACACCTCCCTCCTCCCACATCCAAACTATGTGAGGATGATTAAAAGGCTGAATCAGGGTACACATTTCACCAAGATGGCAATTTGGTGGTTACTTTATGATTTTTTTTTCTTGTTTACAAACTTGGACAACGGCAGGATGTATTTAGCGCTGTAATGCAGCCCTGGAGCCCTGGGCTTCACAGCTCAGATCTGTGGTTGGTTGGTTGTTGTTTTCCCTCAAGTTGTTGACCTAAATGAGTTTGATTGGTGTTGACGTTGATAGAGAAAGGCTTTGCCAGATACAGTCACAGGATCACTGTGGCTGAGAGTCTGTCTAGTCTGCGCTTTGCAGGTCTAAAAACTTGGTTTTGTCAGTGAACCTAAGTGTAACCAGGTCCTCGCACAAACTCACGCTAGTCAAATTCACAATGATCAGTTATGAAACTGGACACTAATTTATTAATTTACAATGAGAACTCCAGCTTTTCCAGGATATATCCATCTCTGCTGGTCATGGTTCCCTGTTCCCGGAAATAGGATACCTAAGAAGTTAATTGACAATTAGAAGGCTGCTTAGTAAGTAGGGAATCTGAGGAAATGAAATTAGTAGTCCTGAGGGATATTTCATCAAGGCCACAAAGAAGTCTTATATAGTTTCCTGTCCACAAAGAGAATAAGCTCTCCCGGTAAATAGAATTGTCTTCTAGATTCAGCATTTATGTTTTTGGACAGGTTGGATAAACACTGCCAAATTCTTGTTCTTTGGCTTCCCTTTTCTGGACCAATACCCCTCCCCCCTCCCTCCCCTCCCCTCTCCTCCCCTCTCCTCTTTTTTCTTTTCTTTCTTTCTCTTTCTTTCTTTCTTTTTTTCTTTTTTTCTTTCTTTCTTAGATGGAGGGAGGGAGTATGAGTGGGGAGAGGGGCAGAAGGAGAGAGAATCTTAAACAGACCACCCCACTCCCCGGCTGAACGTGAAGCCTGACACTGGCCTCCATCTCATGACCCTGAGATCATGGCCTGAGCTGAAATCAAGAGGTGGGCACTTAACTGCGGCACGCAGGCGACCCAGATGTCCCCTTGTCCACAGAACATTGTTCTTTATATACGTTAACAAAATGGGTTAGCTGTGGCCTGTGTTTTTGCTTCTTCAGTTGTTGCCAGTTATGAGACTATCGGAGGCTAGGTAACTGGCCACATCGAGCAGATGTGGTTCTCATGTCTCCTTGTTTTATATTTCCCATTTCTTCAGCATATCCCCTATGCAAAACTTCACAGTTGCTAGAAGAACCGTATCAGCAAGCTCTGTGGGGAGAAGCTCATTGTAACCAAATAAGTATTTTGTGTTCCATCTATATGTTAAGGTCCATCTACTCATATTAATTCACAAGTTTCAAAATAATCTCAGAAACTTCAATTACTGGGGCACCTGGATGGCTGGCTTAGGCTCTGGTCATGATCCAAGGGTCCTGGGATCAAGCCCCACATCGGGCTACCCACTCTGCAGAGAAGCCTACTTCTCCCTCTCCCACTCCCCCCACTTGTGTTCCCTCTCTCGCTGTGTCTCTGTCAAATAAATAAAATCTTAAAAAAAAAAAAAAAGAAACTTAAATTATTCCTTCCCAGATTGCTTTAACCTTTATTCTTTCTTTCCCTTCCTTCCTTCCTTTCTTTCTCCCTCCTCCCTCTCTCCCTTTCTTTCTTTTTTAGATTTTATTTATTTATTTGACAGAGAGAGAGAGAGGAGAGAGAGAGAGAGACAGCAAGACAGGGAACACCAGCAGGGGGAATGGGAGAGGGAGAAGCAGGCTTCCCGCTGAGCAAGGAGCCTGATACAGGGCTGGATCCCAGGACTCTGAGCCGAAGTCAGATGCCTAATGACCGAACCACTCAGGTGCCCCACCTTTATTCTTTCTTGACAGGAATAGTCCATTTGGGCACATTATTAACTCCCTAGTCTTTTTTCTTATTCACAAGGCTGGGCAAAGAATAGTTCCTTTTCTTCTATGTCCTCTAAATTTATCCACAAGCTTTCACAAGCCCCATTATGGAAAAATGTATTTTCTTTCCTACTGATAGTCTCACCCCTTGGAGTGACTCTTCTTTCTAGTAGCACGTTTTAAAAGCCATATCGAAGAAAAAAAGTAAATAGTTTTTGCCTAAGGAACAATAAATAGGTTATAATATTTTTGGTTTAGAATCATGGCTTAATTTTTTAGCTTGGGGCTTGGCATTTTCCTATTCTGAAATATCCCAGATCCATAATTAATTTCCAGGTATTATAAGCTCTTATTTGCCAAAGCATAAAAATAATATATGTGCTAGTACCCTCCTTTTCATCTTGCTGGATTTTTTTTTCATAGTCTCTTATGCTTTTTTTCTTGACTTTCTTTGATACCATATTCTTGATGTCACTTTTAGCCACAGCGTTGATTACTTTCTATTTGGAATGTTCCAACTGTAATTTTTTTTCCCTTTTTATGCTTGGCCCAGATTTGTTAGATTTCTAATTATGTAAAAATGAGCAAGAAAACAAAACTTACTGCTCTGTAGCTGATTAAAATAGGAAAATAATTTGAGGTTTAGAGGATAATACGTTTAATTTTTTTCTTTCAATTATAAAAGTAAGAAAGTTTATGGGGCACCTGGGTGGCTCAGTGGGTTAAAGCCTCTGCCTTCGGCTCAGGTCATGATCCCAGAGTCCTGGGATCGAGCCCCACATGGGGCTCTCTGCTCAGCAGGGAGACTGCTTCCTCCTCTCTCTCTGCCTGCTGCTCTGCCTACTTGTGATCTCTGTCTGTCAAATAAATAAATAAATAACTCTTTAAAAAAAAATAAGAAAGTTTAGAAAAACATAGAAAACTAGAAAAAGGGAGAAAAATCCATATTCTGCCACCCAAAGTAATCACCATTCATGTATTTCTTCATCTTTTCCCTTATGCATAACTGTTCATGTATTTTAAGCTTGTGACCATGCTTGGATAATTATATAATTACTGTAAATATTTTATTTTATTTTTAAGATTTTATTTATTTGAGAGAGAGAATGAGAAAGAGAGAGCATGTGGGGGGGAGAGTCAAAGGGAGCAGCAGACTCCCCACTGAGCAGGGAGCCCTATGTGGGACTCAGTCCTGGGTCTCCAGGATCATGACCCGAGCTGAAGGCAGTTGCTTAACCAACTGAGCCACTCAGGCACTGTACTATAAATGTTTTAAGTAAACTTGGATCATGGGCTCAGCTTGGCTAGAAATGCATTTGTATCATTTTAAATAGACCTTTAAAGGTGTTTGGTAAATATTTATTAAATGAAACGAGTGAATCCTTGTCCCTCTCTGTGCCTCAATTTTCTCATGTCTCAAGCAGGATAAATTAGTTTACAAGAGGTTTGTGAGAATTAGTGAAAAACAATAAATATTCAAAGCAGCTAGGTCTTGTTGTAACTCTCCTAGCTATAGTATTACTTTTTTTTTTTTTTTTCCTAGAGAGCACTGCTGGAGAAGAAGCAGAGAAAAAAGCGCCTTGAGCCACTTATGGTACAGCCAAATCCAGAAGCAAGGCTTCGTCGATCAAAGCCAAGAGGTAGCGAGGAGCAAACTCCTTTGGTGGAACCTCATACCCCACAGAACGATGTCATCTTACATGGTGTGTGTTAGGCAGCATCTCTTCCCACTAGGGTACAGTTTTCATAAAGCTAGGAGAGGGCAGAAAGATTCTCAGATGGACCAAAGGGACAATATTAGCATCATTACTAGGTACCTTCATAAATTTTCATAATCACATTCTGGGTCTTAGAGTGAAAATAAAAGCAGTGGTTTAATTAGTGGAAGATACCCTGATGTTTGTACCTATCCTAGAGCTATTGTCTTCATTGCCAAATGGTTTAGTCCAGAATGGTCTGTGTGAGGAACTTACAGCCTTGAATGTCATGTCATGTCATGGCAGAGTTAGCCATGACGCCAGGAGTAGTAGAGAGCACCCAGTCTTCCGATAACTAGGACTCAATGGACTGCGTGAGGTGGTGAGCTATTGACTTGGACAGGATCTGAACTTTGGCAGACCTACTTTGTTTTCATGGTCTTAGTCTTTAGTTTCTAAAGCATGACATCAGGTACATTTTATTTAGTAACAGTCAGAACATGTTAATAAAATGAACACCAGTCTGAGTTACTCTATTAACAAACATCCACATGGATGTTAAGGAAAGAGAAGTGAAATGCTTGGATGGTTCTTAATTCTGATCACATACACCAAAACCACCCACCAAATAACAGATAATACTTTCCTCTTTTCTCTTCTCTTTTGGACCCTAGGCATTGATGGTCCAGCTGTCTTCTTGAAGCCAGATGCTCAAGATTTGGAAACCAAACTTCACGTTCTCTCAGTAGGCTCCTCTGCTACAGAAGAAGATACTGAAGAAAGTGCTGATGGAGAAAGCACTTTGGAGACTGTGTCCAAGCCAGATCTCCAGGAGATTCTCCAAAAACATGGTAAGGATTGGTAATGAAAGTAAGGCAGTTAATCATCTTAGCCACGTATAATCTTTTCCTTTCCTTGCTTTCATTGTCGGTTAACAATCTAGATGGTTCAAAATTGCTTGGAATGTGGCTTATGGATTTACATCTTTGACATCTGAGAATTGATTATTGTTAACCACAATAATATTTACCCTGTTGCCTGAGAAAAATAAGATAATTACATATAAATTATCTGCAGCATTAGCTACTATATGTGACTATTTCTTTTTGACATCTTATTTTTAGTTCCCACTCCCTTCTTTTGACAAAGTTGCCACTCAACACCCCTACTCGGCCTCCATGTCACAGATTTATTGATCTAGTGATGGCTGATGAGGAATACAAATGGGATCAAAATATACTTAAGTTAATACTTTTCTCACTAGCGCCAACTTTCTGCCAGTTGGAGTTACCACTTCCACAAATATTCCTGTACACCTTAGAGAGCTCTTGTAGTTTTCTTTCCTTCTTAGAAAAATGATTTTCTGTGGGAAGAAATTAAGTGTCCCCTTTTCAGGTGAGAAGACAGAAACCTGGTCATGAGTAAGTATTTACTGTGTACCTCCTTAATCATAGGTAGGCATTATAGGCCTGGGATGTGTGAATCAGGAGGTTCTACCACGGAATGGTAGACCAGATGTACATTCAAACACAGTCACATATTCATTCATTTAGAAAATATGTGTTGAGTATATACTAAATACTGGACATTGTTATAGGCACATAGGCTACAACAGTAAACAAGGGGTCCTGCCCTCCTGAAGTGTTTATTCTAATTGAGCCATCATGTACTTAAATAGCCAAGAGAGCATTGAGAGGGGTACCAACCCAGAGCTGAAGGTTTAGAAAGCTTTCCAGGGAGAGTGACGTCTTAAGCTACAGCCTGATGCAGGAGGTAGAGCTGGCCAGTCCAGAATGGCTGGGCAGCACAGTATGAGCGGATAAGGTGGGAAGAGGGACTAGAGAGGTGAGCCTGGAGGGGTGAGTGGGCTCTGATTATATAGGCCAGTATAGGCCATATTAGGAACTTGGACTTTATTTGAAAAATAACTGAAACCTATGAGGGAATTTGATCTGAGGAATATTATCACCCAATTTGGGCTTAATGGGAAAACTAAGAAGAATTACGCTGCACCATAAGGAATTAATTGAAGGTGCGGGCGAGGCAAGTGTAGAGGCAGGAAGACTTATGGAGGAGATGGTTTGGCTGGTGGCCTGACCTGGAGTTATAATGTAGTATATGCAAGAGTAAAAACCAGGGAGAAATAGAATTACATTGCTGGGGCAATGAGAAGAGACAAGAAAGGCATCAAAAGAGAGCAATTAAGCTGAGCCAGGAAGGATGCGTGGCCTCCTGTTTACTGGAACATCTGTCAAAGCAGCTGCAGACTGACATTTTGAATGTCTCTTGTATGTCAGGCACTTGCCATACATTATCTCAATTAATTTAAAATTTATAGGGGCTCCAGACTGGCTCAGTTGGAAGAGTGGTTGACTCTTGATCTTGGGATCATGAGTTTAAGCCCCACATTGGGTACAGAGATTACTAAAAAAATAAATAAACTTAGATATTTATAACAGTACTTTGGGGGCATTCGTGCATATTAGTCTCTCCATTTACATGTAAGAAAATTATATATATTACATTTGTAATTATACGTAGCCTCTCAGACAGGCTAGGTAATTTGTTCATGGTCACATTGCTGGTAAGGTGACACACTTGGGTGGAAGAAAGAACATGTGCAAAGGTATTGGGTATAAAATCATGATATGTTATGAAAACCAGAACAGATGGCAGGAGCACAGGGTGTGGCAGCAGCCATGGTAAAGGGGGTCAGAACATAGGTCTGAAACCCGGGTTCTTCCTGGGTTCTGAATCTCAACTCTGCCACATCTGGCTGGGAAAGGGGGAACACAGCTTTCCTTTCCTCTGCCTCTGTTTCCCTGTCTGTAATAAGAATGTGATTGTGGCATTTCCCTATTATTTTACTACCACTACTGTTACGACAAAAGAAAGTGAATGATGTGGAGGAGTCAGAGCAAAGACAACCTTCATTTAATCAGAAGCTAAGTTATCCCAAGTCATCTAGCTAAGTAGTGGCAAACCTAGATTTTCTGATTCTTAGTCTAGTTCTTTATCCCTTACTGTAAATACCGAGTTCTCCTCTTCTACCCTGCCCTATGAAGTGATGGCTATTTTTTTTTTTCCCCTAAGAACTGGCCTTTCTGAGAAACCAGGTGGTTTAATGCCTTTTTACATCCCAACAAGTTGCATCTTGACCATAAAACCCATTAAGCACTTTTTTAAAAAAAAGATTTTATTTTTTTGGAGAGAGAGAGGAAGGAGAGAACGCGAGTAAACATGAGCAGGGGGAAGTCTAGAGGGAGAGAGACTCCCCACTGAGCAGGGAGCCTGATGCAGGACTCGATCCCAGGATCCTGGGATCATGACCTGAGCTGAAGGCAGGCACTTAACTAACTGAGGCACCCCATTAAGCACTTTCTTGACTAAGATCTAGGATGTGTCAGTTTGGCAGATTATATCCCTTTAGTGGGTCCAGTTTGTTTTTTCTACAAGTTTGGGAGAAATCTTTGAACTCCATTGTAAAACATATATTCATATAAGCTGAATTTTTGGCATAAAAATGGCATTTGCAAACATAGTACCAAGTGAAAATATCCATGATTGTGAGGTTTTATGCCTTTTTGCTACAAAAGAAAAAAAGGTTAACATTTTAGAAAACAAAGAAAATACGTCCTTCACAAACCAAAGAGTTTTTTTAATAGTAGCTTTATTGGCGTATAATCAACATACCATACTATTCACCCATTTAAAGCGAACAGTGGGTGTAGGAGGGGAAGATGGCAACAGAGTAGGAAGACCTTGGGTTCACCTCACCCGACCAATACAACTAGATAACTATCAAATCATCCTCAATACCCCAGAAGTTGATCTGAAGACTGGCAGAACATATTCCACAACTAAAGGTAGAGAAAAGGCCACAATCGAAGAAGGTAGAAATGTGGAGACATGATTTCGGGGAGAAATGGGTCATGGCTGCTGTGGTGAGGAGGGAGCTGCACTCATGGAGAAGGGCAAGAGACAGATTAACACACAGGGAAGTGCAGGGGTAAACAATCCCCATAGCAGTTGGTTTGGAAAGCAAGAGGTGCTGAATTTCATGAGTTCCTGCAACCAGCAAGGCTTAAAGCCTGGAGTTCTAAAGGTCAGCGGGCTTGGTTCAGGGAGAGCCTGGAGGGCACTGTGCTGCTCTTGGAGGAAAGGCAGGCAAACAACCCATGGACATACAGAGTGGAAACAGCAATCTGAAGAGTTCCAGAGCACACAACGAGGAAGTTAGTTGTTAATCTTGGAGCATTTCCCAGAGAGACAGCGTTGGTGGAGACACCCCTTCAGGAACAGATACTGGCAGGCACCATTTCCGTCCTCTGCCCCTTAGTATAAGCACACAGCCACCTGTGGGAACCAGTGCAGCACTGACACTTGCTACCTAACTTGCTTACACCAAGCCCTTCCTACCGTCACTGGGATGGGCCTACCCCTTCCCAGTCATGCATGCCTCAGTCCCTTCGGAGGCTGGTGCCCTCCTCCAGATGACCAGGGCAATACTTATATCAGACAAAATAGACTTTAAAACATATATTGTTAACAAGAGACAAAGAAGGACACTATATAATCATAAAGGGGACAATCCAACAAGGTGATATAACAATTCTAAATATTTATGCTCCCCACCTGGGAGCACCCAAATACATAAAACGTTAAAAGCAAACATAAAAGAACTAATTGAAAATAATACAATAATGGTAGGGAACTTTAACACCCTAGTACATCAATGGACAGATCATCCAAACACAAAATCAAGAAGGAAACAGTGGCTTTGAATGAGACCATGGACCAGATGGATTTAACAGATAAAATTCAGAATATTCTGTTCTAAAACAGCAGAATACACATTCTTTTCAAATTCACATGGAACATTCTCCAGACTAGATCACATATTAGGCCACAAAACAAGCCTCAACAAATTCATAAAAATCAAAGTCATACTGTGCATCTTTTCTGACCACAACACTATGAAACTAGAAGTCAGCCACAAGAAAAAAATCTCTGGGTTTTTTTCCTCTGGAAAAGACCATGCATACATGGAAGTTAAATAACATGCTTCTAAACAATGAATGGATCAACCAGGAAATGTAAGAAGAGATTAAAAAGTGCATGGAAATAAAATGGAAATGAAAACACAGTGTTCAAAACCTTTGGGATACAGCCAAAGCTATTCTAAGTGGCAAGTTTATAGCAATAGCCTACTTCAAGAAGCAAGAAAAACCTCAAATACACAACCTGACCTTATACCTAAAGAAGCTAGAAAAAGAATAGCCATATAAAACCCCTAAAACTAGCAGAAGGAAGGAAATAATAAAGATGAGAGCAGAAATAAGTGATAAAGGAACTAGAAAAAAACAATAGAAGAGATCAATGAAACCAGGAGCTGGTTCTTTGAAAAAAAATCAGTAAAATTGATAAACCTATAGCCAGACTTGTCAAGAAAAAAAGAAAAAGTGTTCAAATAAATAAAATCACAAGTGAGAGGAGAAATAGCAACTAATACCACAGAAAAACAGTTAAAAGGGAATATTAAAACGCATACCAACAAATTGCAACCTGAAAGAAGTGGATAAATTCCTAGGAACATGTAACTTACCAAAACTGAAACAGGAAGAAATAGAACATTGAGCACACCAATTACCAGCAAATAAGTAACCGAAAAAATCAGTAATCAGAATCTGTAATCCAAGAACTCCCAACAAACAAAAATCCAGGACCAGATGGTTTCACAGATATATTCTACCAAACACTTGAAGAAGAGTTAATATCTATTCTTCTCAACTATTCCAAAAAATAGAAGAGGAAGGAAAATGTCTAAATTCATTCCGAGAGACCAGCATTA